TCAAGTTGCTTTTAGTCACAGTGTTTTATTACAACAATAGAAACCCTAAAAAACTCCATAAGTGTTGCTTATCAATAAAAAAAAAGAGAGAGAGAGAGAACCCAGAAGGACTGCAGAAATACTTATGGAAAGCAAGCAGTTAATGTGGGTGAGTTCACTATGCCTGCTTGATTTTAACTGTCACTAACAGCACCTTCTGTATGCCAGAAGGCCAAGAGGATAAGCCTTCTGGGCTTGGCACACTACTAGGAATCCAATGAGCTGTGAAGTCTGTTGGGAGGAAGAATCATGCTCTTCAAGGAAGATCTCAGTAACTGTTACAACTTGAGAAGGCCCAGGACTTGAGCCAGAGGCAATATGGGTTGTCTCCCACACAGCCCAGTGAAAGGAAGAGAAGGGAAAAGGCCTTTCCCCACCCACGTGTGTGTGTGTGTGTGTGTGTGTGTGTGTGTGTACATATACAGATATACATGGATTAGAGCACAGACATTTTCTTAGCTTTTCATTCTAGCTGTGGTAGAGCCTAGACACCAACATTTGAAAATAATAATTTCTTTAATCTTATTTTATGCACATTGGTGCAATTGTGTCAGACACCCCAGAACTGAACACTTACAGACAGTTGTGAGCTGCCATGTAGGTGCTGGGAATTGAACCAGCACCCTGGAAGAGCAGTCAGTGCTCTTAACCAGTCAGCCATCTCTCCAGCTCCACACCAGCATTTTTAAGGTTTTCCAGCAATGATGCAACATTCGGGTATCCTGTGGGCCTTTAGTATACTATAGAAGTGTGCATTCTCTCATTATACATCCCTCTTGATCTTCATCCTACCTCCAACCTTCTCCGATCTACTGCAGCCTACCCTCTATGCTCCAGGAGTGGTGCGAGGAAATCTAACAGCCAGTGCAGGTCCGTGGAGAAAGAAATACAGTCAGAGTGATGTCTTGGCACCTTTAGAAGGTGTAGAGGTCTGTTATAAAACCCAGTGAGTGGAAGAGTATAGAGACAACCCCATTCCCAATATTAACTAGGTCCCAGACATTTTTCTTCACAGTTCCAACCCAGGTAAGAGAGAACTTAGGTACCAGTATTTTCTAGGCCCTCCAACCACAACGAACATTCAGGACATAACAGAGATGTGATCTTTTTCTATTCCTTACCATCCTAGGACCCCAATGCTCCCCTTCCCCTAGCCACATCTTCCCATCTCTCTCCTCCCCATCCCACTCTCTCTTTGTGTTCCTCAAGTACTACTTCAAAATCAAATGTTAAGATAAGTTCAGGTTAGGTTAGGTGCATTTATTTCATTTAGTTGGCTTTCGTTCTATTTGTTTTGCTTTGGTTCTGTTTGGTTTGGAAAGACAGTCAACATCCCCAATACAGTTTTAAGATTTTTGTTGTTGTTGTTTTTATAAGACAGGGTTTCTCTGTGAAGCCCTGGCTATCCTGGATTCACTTTGTAGACCAGGGTGGCTTCGAACTCACAGAGATCTGCCTGCTTCTGCTTCCCAGAGTACTGGGATTACAAGCATGTGCCACCATACCCGGCTCAGTTTTAAGATCTTTATAAGGAAGAGAGGTCTAGTACTTGACCCAATGGAAGAAGGACTATAGACCCAAACCTCCACACAATCCCGACAGCAACAACAATATCATATTTCCTTAGTGCTTCCAATCTAGCTGAGGGAGAATAAGTACCAGTGTTTTCTGGGTCCTCCAATGAATGTGAGCCTTTGGAGTACTTTAGAGACCTGACATTCTCTATTCCATACACCCCAGCTGGCCCCATCACACACACTTGAGTTCCCCCTTCCCCACCACTTCCCCCTCACCCCACCTTCTGTTTTCTCCAAGTACCACGTGTCAACATAATGGTCTGTGCCATAAGGTTAGGAGAGTCAAGGTCCTCAGTGAAGTCTTAGTATTTTTATAAGGTAAAAACCTGACCCAGTGAAGGACCAGTCCCTCTCTTCCCTAATACTAACTAGATCACAGACATTTGTTGAGGGAGAATCTAATAGCCAAGAGTTTCTAGATGTTCCAGTGAGGATCGGATTTTAAGATACTAAAGAGGTCTAGTCACAAGTAGCAAGCCATTGCCCAGCTGCTTCAGGAAAACCACTCTCTTGTCCCTGTGGTGCCCGGTGAGGATGATCAGGACGGTCCCAGGAGGGATGCTGGCACGCAGCTTTCGCACATGCTGACTAAAGGGCTTTTTGCCATGGCTCAACAGCTTCCGAGGCACATCTTCAGTAGGATAATACCTAGGCATTTTTTTTTTCGAAGAGTCACCACCAAGCTACCACCAGTCTTGTCACCACCAACTGGTTTTGTGACAGTAGCAAGGGCCTTCTCCTTTTTCTTCTTCTTTTCAACCTTGGACTACTTGTGACTGGACCTCTTGCTCTCAACAGAGTTCCTCTGCACAGAACACACCAGAAGTTTGCCACCTCTACAGAAGTTGGTATCAGCAAGGTTAAAATCCCCAAACACCTGACTGATGCTTACTTCAAGAACAAGCAGTAGCAAAAGCCCAGGTACCAGGAGGGCAAGATATTTAACACAGAGAAGAAGAAATACGAGATTACAGAGCAGCGCAAGGCTGATCAGAAAACTGGACTAGTAGATTTTGCCAAAGACCAAAACTGATCCTCAGCTGCAGGGCTACCCTCCATGTTAGTTCTCCCTGACAAATGGGATGTAGCCTCACAAACTGGTGTTCCAAATTGCTAACAACCTAATTAAACAACTTCATTCGTTAAAAACCAAACAAACAGAAAGATACGAGACAGATGTGGCTTTCTCTCTCCTTAAATTCCCAACCTCCCCATACTAACCTCCCCCTGCACTCCTCTCCCTGAAACCAGATGGCCCAGGGTCCACTTTCAGGACTTCCCAAAGACAGCTGAGTAATCTAAAGGTCTGCAGAGGTCTCTGGGAAGGAGAATCATCCCCCATAGTAAGGTCTTGCCACCTTTACAACGTTAACTACCTGACCGATACAAGGAAAAGCAAGGAAACAACTGCCACTTGCAAAATAGTAACTACAAGGCAGAATGGTAGTACATCAATGACAATACTCGGGGAGGCCAGAAGCTGGTGGATGAATATCTATGAGTTTGGGCTAACCTAATCTATATAATGAATTCAGGTCAAGTGGGGCCTCATACTGAGACTGTCTCAAGAAAATGCTGTCTAGAGCCAGACGTTTTTTAGTGCTTCTAGAGTAGCTGAAAGAAAATCTATGTGTTAGAGTTTTTGTTTGTTTGTTTGGGTTTTTGTTTTTATTTTATTTTTTTGTTTTTGTTTTGTTTTTTTGAGACAGGGTTTCCCTGTGTACCGTTGGCTGTCCTGGACTCACTTTGTAGACCAGGCTGGCCTCAAACTCACAGAGATCTGCCTGTCTCTGCCTCCTGAGTGCTGGGAGTGCTGGGAATGCTGGGGTTACAGTCATGTGTCACTGGGCACGTCTGACGGTCCTTTATGACGGTCACACTGCCTCCCTCAGTACACCGGCTCACTTTCTGGTCCCCCCCAGACCTGGGCACCACCAAGCATCGCACCGCACCCTGCCATCCGCTCCCCTTCCGCGCTCCGCAAGAACTGCTGGGAAATCTGATGATCAACGCATTTCGGCTGAAAACATCCAGCCAAATTCTTCAGTGAGGTCTTGCTGGCTTTGTAAGGTAGGGCGGCGGGGGTGGGGGGGGATGTTTTCAATATTTAATGTACTAAAAGGAAGAACCTAGGACAGCCTGCCTCCAAGCTTTAGCCACATCAGTCATTTTGTGCTGCTTCCAAGGGAGCAGAGTTTCCCTAGCAAGCATGGGTAGGATTCTAAGCCCTTTTATGGGGAAGCACGTTTAGGGGTAGGTACCACCCAGGGGCAGCATCCTGTACTTCCTGCCCTACCTTTCCACCCATCACCCCTAAACATCTTACTCCCTCGCACCATACAACAGCACAGCAGCTCCCGCCACCAGCCCCACCGTTGAGGAGCTCATTCTACCCTCGCGCCCTCTACCCGTAGGAACCACCCACACAGTATGTTCTGTTCTGTTGGGAACACTAACATTCTGTGCTGGTTCGTTGATAAGGAAGGTCAACCTCCATGGTGTGGTCCCGCGGCCTTTGTAAGGTAGGGAGTTCCGGTGTCTGACACGATGAAAGGAGGGGTGTAAGAGTGCCACCTACATACACCATAGCCCTCAGATGTTTCCACCCCAGCTGAGAAAGAACCCAGCCGCTATTTTTTTTCCTCTATTTTTTTACCCTCAGAGGGTAGGGTGTAGGATACCACAGACACGCAACATTATCTCATCTTATACGCCCCCCCACCCCCACCCCAAGAACTCCCTACCTGTTCCCAGCCTATTTCATCGCCTCCGGGCCTCACCTCCCACATACTGATTCGCAGCCGGCATATTGTCCCAACACCACTGCCAATGGATCCCACGCAACCTCCTCTTCTATACAAGAAGTGCTGGTTAAACAAACAAACAAACAAACAAACAAAAATGTAGGTAAGGGTCAATTGGGAAGGACCAGCATTAAGTTGGGATGTCTGGTACCTGATCCAGTAAAAGGAAGCCGTATAGGACCTACCACCTCACCCCAACACTAACTAGATCACGGAGGTTTTTCTTAATTCCTCCACCTTAGCTGAAGGGAAACTTTAATGTCAGTGTTTTCTAAGACCTCGGCGGAGGATAAGCTTTTAAGGTACTACAGAGGTGTGTCCTTCTCTGGTTCTACCCATTCCCAACACTCTGGGCTCTCTCTGGACCCCGCCCCCTTAACATGACCCCTCCCTAGCCCCACCCTCTGCTTCATCACAAACACATTTGACACCCTGTGGCTGTGTGATGAAAGCTTGAAGCTCTGGCAGAGACCATCAGGCCTTCACTCATAGCTAGCACCCACCACGACTGGAGGGTCAGCTCCTCTAACAGGTCTCCTCCCTGTCCTGTTCCCAAATATAGGAGCTTAATCCTACAGAGATGTCTGAAAAACAGGAGCCTCAGAAGTCTGACACGGAGTGCACTGCCGTGGAACTTCAAGAGTATGAAGATGAAGAACACTGGCTTTTCAAAGGTAAAGACCTCCTTTTTTAAGGTTACTGAAAGGAGGAACATGACTCTTGGCATGAGTTCAGGGACACTTTTTTTCAAATTCCCCAGAAACAAAGGGGAAAACATCTCATACATCCCCAGGTTTTTCATTTCCCATGCCACCTCTCTCCTGGTTTTTAAGTAATATCATCCTAGGATCCTCAATTTTCTCTAAAACTGCCAAACTAAATCAAAAATTCTCTTTAACTGGAGGCAATCAGAATGATGACTAACACAAACTTTGACGAATGAACTAACTTATCGAATACTGAACTGTGTGGTGACTGGTGGAAAGAATCGTTGGTGCAGATGAGCGTGTTCTGGTATGAGCCTGTAGTTTCTGTCCCGTTTCTACTTTCTCCTTTAATGTGGGTGATCTGGTATTGCTCCCAGATCAAATTGAAGGACACGCTCAACAACAACAAAAGTCCTATAAACTGAGACATTTAACAGATTCTTTTGATTTACATTTTTACCGTAAGAAAGCGAGCAGGAAGCCCGGTGATAGCAGAGCATGGCTTTGAATCTCAGCACTCAGGAGGCAGAGGCAGGCAGATCTCTGTGAGTCTGAGGCTAGCTTGGTCTACATAGAGATCTCCATGCCTGCTACAGCCATACGGTAAGACCCTGCCTCGGAGTAGCTAACCTTCCCAAATAACAGCCTCAGTTGCCACAGGTATGCACATTCTTGCCCCTGTACCTCCTAGAACATGCAATGATGAATGTGAAGATGGCTTTCAAGTGCTTTGACTTCTAATGCATTAAATATGAGGGTTTTGAGGGGGGGAGGTTTGCATTTGATTCTGTATATGTTTTAAACCTCATTTTGCCATTTTTTCTTGTTTCTTTCAGTTTTGGGAATCAAGCCTAGGCCTTCCTCAGCAGTGGGCAAGTATTCCATTTTGAAATCCACTCCTAACTCCACCCTGGGATTTTTGGTTGTTGTTTTGTTGTTCTGTTGTTGGGTTTTTTTTTTTTTTTTTTTTTTTTGGTTTTGTTTTGCTTTGCTTTATGTTTTCCTAGTGTAGGCCTTTAAAAAAATTTTAAGCCTTCGTAGGAACAAACTCCAGCAGGTCTTTTCCATTAGCTCTCACAAAAGTACTTCTCTGGGTGGAGTGGGCAAGACCTTCAGATGAACTCAGTTACCTTTCTGCATCTTCCTTTTTCAGCTCATTTCACTTCATTTGTGTCAAGAAAATAACTTGATTCCTAAAGTGTTAAATATGCTCAATACCCACAGTAATTTAGGGGCAAAGGAATTTTTGCAAGTTTGCTTATATACAGCCAAAAGAATAAATGAAAACAATTTTCTTAGTATATATGAATAGAAAATTTAAATCACTAAAAAAAGTAGTAAAGGACAACTTTTTAAAATATTTTTTCCTCTTATGTCCTTGTTAGTTTTAACAGGTCCAATAGTATTACCACAAATCCCAATTCCAAAATTGGTCATTATTGCTGCTTCTCCTTCAACTATTCCATAGGCTGTTAACAAAATCTCAGTTGTATTTAGCTTTAGCAATATCATTCTGCATGTTAAGGTCTCCTGGCCCCAGCAGGTCAAGCCCAAGAGACCTTCTAACCCCACTTCTTCTCCTTCCTACCTCCCTTTGATTTATTTTCACATTTTATTTTTCATGATTACAGGCAATAACACCGATAAGAAAGAAGATGAATCACTAGGGTAAGTCATCCAACATTTTATTCACATTAACAATGGTCACCTTTGTGCTGGCAGCTGATTTCAACCCAAGTGAACAAAGAGTACATCCTAGACTACCTTGCTACCTGATTTTATAAACAGAACATAAATGAACACTTCCATGAGACATTTTAAAGCAGTAGCTAGGAATCTGTCATATATTTTTTCCCCCCAAGGCCTTTGGTATTTTCACTGATTGATACTGCTAACTGGATATGTCTTTTTTTTTTTTTTTTTTTTTTTAATGTGCAACTGAAGTAAGACAGAAATGTTTTCTTTGGATATGGTGTTCTGAAGCCCTTGTTATGAGCCCAGTGGATAGCAATTTCTCTTCTGTACTCAGTTTTCAGTGGGACTCTTTCCAAGGCCAGGCACATTCTAGCTGCTAGATCAACTGATGATGAATAAGGCACAATGGCTCAGGGAACCAATAACTGAATTCCTAGAAACTCAAAGAGAAAACAGTAGATGATTCGAGCAGACGGTGGGAACATAAGCACAGCCACACCTGCTTGCAGAATCATGGTCTAGATTGCCTAGAAAAGCCCACCTTCTCTGTTTTGGATGGTCTAGGGTCAAAATCTCAACATAGTTAAAACAGTGACCACTGACAAATCTGTTTCTATTAGGAATGAGGGGGATCAAAATTAGGCCAGTAATTGTGACCTGTACCAAAAATAAGAACTAACTGGATAAAATTCCAAAACTGAAGCTTTTTAAAGTAAAGTGTTTGGGAAGCAAATTACATATATCAAGTGAGTCAGTTATTAAACTAGAAAAATAAAGTACAGTCAAAACAAATTCAACTCAGTATTTCAGTTGGTCTAGGTGACACCCTTCAGCTCTTTTTAAAAAAGATTTATTTCTTTTATTTATTCGGTATAAAATATTGTGTCTGCATGTACAACTTCCCACCAGAAGAAAGCACCATATTTCATTGTAGATACTTGTGAACCACCATGTGGTTGCTGGGAATTGAACTCAGGATCTCTAGAAAAACAGCCAATGCTCTTAACCATTGAGCCATCTCTCCAGCCCCATCGTTCGTTCCCTTCAGTTTTTATATTCTGTTCAATGCACTTTCTGAATTCAATCATGATTATTCAAGCATTTAGTTTTAGCCTCTGGTTGTACTTCAAGTGACTGACTAGCACGTGGGTTTCTGAATTGCATGTAATCTGATGTCGAGGAAATAACTTTCCAGTGTGTTAATTATCATGACACTTTTCTCTAGTCATGCTGAATTTCTTCGCCTGCAAGATATTCTCCAAGAGAACAAAGTCAGCATCGCTGCTGAGAGCAACACTTGCCAACCTGTAAGTAAGACAAGGGAAACAGAAATACAAGAAGATGTGGGAACCTGAAAAACACATCAAATGTCAAGGGTGGATGGACTCTAAACATGATAGAATAGATATGGTCTTAGGATAATGATGTCTGCTGAAAGCTAACACACTAAGAATATATTTAACTGATGATAGTTTTTTTTTTTCTCCCGTAAATTCTTCTGTTAGAGCTTTATAAAGGGGATAGATGGGTGCACGAACAGATAATTACTTAAAGAGTGTCTTCTTTCTTTCTTTCTTTTTCTTTTTCTTTCTTTTTTGTTCTTTCCCTACCTGTTGGTAGAAATACTTTTAGAAGCAAGAGTAGAAGAAAACAAATATGCCCATGTAATTTACCCTTTTGAAAACCAGGCCCTAAATATGTTCACATGTCTCCAAACTGTTTAGAAATCGATCACACGGATGATCATGTGGTCTAGTAAGCCATACTATGCTTGAATTACTTGGAGAATTGCAGTATGAGATTACATGGTACTTCCCAAGGAAAGCTGTTAGATCCTTGAGTAGCTCAACAATTGCAGAATGTTTTACTTATGCTTAGTAGAGAGCTGTCTTGCTATACTTTTAAACCATTCATTTGAATTTAGCTCCTCTGAACCGTTAATTAGTACAACAAATCTAATATTGCTTCCATGAAATAGGCCTTCAAACTTTTAAAGATCCATTTTTAAATTTTTTTTTACAATTTCATTATATATAATCTATTTTATTTTTAATGATGTGTATGCATGTATTTGTGATAGGTGCACCTGAGCTCAGGTGTCCACAGAGGCCAAAGGCATAGGGCATTGGCTCTTCCTGTAGCTGGAGTTGCAAGTGATCATGAGCCAGCTAATGTAGGTGCTGATATCAGACTTTGGTCCTCTAGAAAAGGAACAGCATTCTTAACCACTGGGGCCATCTCTCTAGCCCCAAGCCTCACTATTATATTAGCCCTAAATCTTCTGGGATTGGTCTCACCACCACAAGTCCTTTATATGATTTGATTTAGAGCTCCTTCACCATTCCAGTTCTCTAAATACATATCAGATTTTTTGGATTTTTTTTTTTAATTCTTCTCTCATACATCTGGATCTCCGTTTTTCTTTCCCTTCACTCCTCCCAGCTCTCCCCACAGATTTATTTGGAAAAATTTCAAGGGGGGCTTTCTAAAATGAATGCAATATGGGCTGGAGAGGTAGCGCAGCACTTAAAGAGTTCTCACTGCTAGTCCAGAGGCCTTGAGTTCAAGTCCCAGCACTCCCCTTGTAACGCTTACAAGCACTTGTAACTTGTAACTCAGAGAATCTCATCATTGGCCCCTGAAGGCACTATCACTTATGTATACACTCATACAGTTACAAATAAATCTTTAAAAATTATATATATATATATATATATATTATATATAATTATACGTATTTATTTATTCTCTCTGTGTTTGTGTGTGTATATTTGGGTATTTTGCTTGGAAGTACGAGGACAACTTAAAGATGTAAGTCCTTGCACCATGTACTCCTCAGGGATCAAACTCAGGCTGTTAGGCTTAGTCTTGGTGGAATGTTCCTGAGTCGTATTGCTGGCTCCACATATCTTGCTCTTTTTTCCATGGTTTTTGAGGATCAAACATAGGTTGCCAGGCTTACATGGCTAGCACCTTTAGCCACTAAGACATCTCCTTGGCCTTCAACATGTTATGTATTTTATGTTCCATGTAAGAGGGTAAATCTAATATAGTAAGACCAAAAAAAAAAAAATCTTGTCAGTTTTGAATGGGCCCAATTTTAAAATATGAAATTTAATAGAAATATACATGTTTAGTATAAAATAGTTATATACATGAATGGTTATACATTCTTTTTCTTAAATACCCTAAGGATTTTCCTGGGTAATACACAACCTGAATACACTGTAAAGCATGATTGCACCTTGCTGTGTTTCATCCAGCTTCTAGAACACTGTATAATTTTATTACCAGTTTCTAAAAATGTAGGTCTGTGAAATGGTTTTTCAGCCCATAAAAAACTTTTAAGAAGCCAGGTGTGGTGTCTTGAATATGTGATTCCAGCATTCCTATGGTGAGATAGGAGGCAGAGACAGTTGTCTGGAAGCTTGTAGGCCAGCTAGCCTGCAGTATGCAGCATGGAAGAAGCAAGAGCTGTCCCAAACAAGATAGAAGGTGAAAGCCAACTATTGAAACTTGCCTTCTGACCCTCCACACATGTGCTTCTCTCTCTCTTTAATTTTTTGACACAAGGTCTCACTGTGCAGCCCTGGTTGTACCAGAACTCACTATGGTAGACCAGACTGGCTTTGAACTCACAGAAATCTGCTTGCCTCTGCCTCCTGAAGGCTGGGATTAAAAGCTGGCTTTGAGCTCTCAGTCCTGTCTCTACCTCACCAGTGCTGGGACTGCAGGTGTGCATCAGCACATTCCAATTTCCTTTGGGGGTTTTGAAAGAAAGAAAATAAATGTCAGTAGTTATAAAAGTCAATTGAGGATTATAGTCCGCAATCAACGCCACTACAATATTCTAGAACCAACTCAAGTTTCTTCTGAGTGTCTGGTACTTTCATTAAGGTGACCAATCTACCGTTACTTGATCAATCTACCAAAGCCTATTTTCTCAAAAGTTATCAAGATATTTACCTTGATGTGGGAGAGAGACAGCAGTCTAGTTATAAGGTACAACTGCTTACTAAGCTTTGTCTCAACTATATTTTCATAAGTTAAGAGTGTCAACTCTAGGACTAACGTTAGGACAGAAGTCTTCTTTTGGCAGCCAAAAGTTCTGTCTATTTCATTTTGACTTTCCCCTGTGTCTTTATCACTCTATAGGGATATGTTGAAGATGATAATGAGACCAACCACAGTGACAGTGATGTTGACGACAATGTGAATGTGATCATCGGGAATATTAACACCAACCCCTCCAAGTATATGTATGTAACCTTAAGTGTCCTTGGGTTGTGGGGCATCCAGAGAGAAGAAGTACAATAGGAGTGATCTCTCTAGTAACTGTACTTAATCTTATCCTTGGTGTCAGCTGAAAAGAAATGTAGGAAGATGATGACACCTTTAGTGATAACTGTCCCACACACCAGTTTGTAATATGCTGTCACTGCTTTATAGAGGACTTTGTTTTCACTCCCTCTGTTTTATGTGTACCTTTTCGCACAGATGATTTTGGTATGAAATTATTTAGGATTTTGCTTTTGTGAGCATGGCTCTCTTTTTTTTTTTTTTTTTTTTTTTGTAGGAGATCAGAGTTCAAAGGGTAAAAGAGACTGAGCTAGGGGCAGATGGCAGCGGAGAAGAACTCCCCTTCTTGGTGCACTTAGGGGAAGGGGATAGGGGAAAAGAGGGAGGGAGGATGGGACCAAGAAAAGTTAAGGGAGGGGGGCTACAATCGATACAATATAAGGTGAAGAAATTGTTAAAAAATAAAAAATAATAATTTACAAAGAAGTAAAGAGGGAAAGAGATTTTCTATTTCTACTAATGCAGCTTCTCTTGAGTGCAAGCAGTGTTCTCGAGAAGTTTCATGCTCTGTTCTTTTAGTACGGCTATTTTGCCAAGTGCTAGCAGAAGTACAATTTGATGCTTGCCTTTTTTCTATTAAAATAGAGAACTAGTCAGTTAAGATCGTGCACACCTCTAATCCCACCCAGCACCTGGGAGGCAGAAGCAGGAGAATCTCTGAGTTCTAGGCCAACGTGTTCAACGTAGTGGCTTCCGCTTGCCTCTGCCTGCCAGAGTGCTGGTGGAATTGGCCTTGAGCTCAAAATCAGTCCTGCCTCCGCCTCACCAGCTCTGGGATGGTAGATGTACACTGCCACACTCAGCTTTCTTTTGGAGAGCTATGGAGAGCCTAATCTACATAGTGGCTTCCAAGCCAGTTAGACCTACATATAAAAGCCTGTCTCAAAGATGGTAGAGGTAGATATAGCCTGCTTTTTGCATGGCTAAATGTCCTAATTTTGTGCAATTCCCCACTTCCACCCCTTTTCTTTCTTCTTTTTTTTTTCACTATTTGATAAGATAGAAGTAGCTCTAATAAAATTCTTTTCTATTTTAATTTTAATTTTTATATTAATTACAGTTTATTTATTTTATATCCCAGCTGTAGCTCCCTCCCTCATTCCCTCCCAATTCTGCTTTTCCTCCCTCATCTCCTCTGGTACCCCTCTCCAAGGCCACTGATAAGGGAGGTCCTCTTCCCCTTCCATCTGACCCTAGTGTGTCAGGTCTCATCAAGACTGGCTGCACTGTCTTCCTCTGTGGCCTGGTAAGGCTTGTTCCCCCCTCAGGAAGAAGTGATCAAAGAGCCAGCCACCGAGTTCATGTCAGAGACAGTCCCTGTTCCCATTACTAGGGAAGACACTTGCACACTGAGCTACCATGGGCTACAGGGGTTCTAGGTAATCTCCATGCATGGTCCTTGGTTGGAGTATCAATCTCAGAAAAGACCCCTGTGCCCACATTTTTTGGTTCTGTTGCTCTCCTTGTGGAGCTCCTGTCCTCTCCAGGTCTTTTTATCTCCCCCTTCTTTCATAGGATTCCCTGAGGTTATGAACTTCAGCATCTGCTTTGATATACTGCTAGGTAGAGTCTTTCAGAGGCCCTCTGTGGTAGGCTCCTGTCCTGTTTCCTGTTCTAATAAAACTCTTCTCAAAACTGCTACTTTTTCTTTGGTCTTTTCTGTTTATCATTGATAAGAAGATACCTTATCACTGAAGTGAAAATGTAAAATTCACATCCCCATTCTTTTTAGTAAGAAAACATTTTTTAGTTCAAATATGAATGGGTCGTATTTTCACATGTGTGCATAAATGACTTTTCTGTCTAAATTGTTGTTGTCAGCCAATTGACAATTGATTACACTAATCTCTGTATTCTAGGGAGATGCTCACTAATCGCAACTTGAAAGCTGACCGTAACCTGGAAGCGTCTTCATCAGGTATCTTTCCTGCCCTTTAGATTGTTATTGAAGTCATACATTGCAGCCTGGCATACATACAGGGAAAACATTCATACTCATAAAAATAAAATTAAGGAGTAAAAAAAATTAAAGGCATTATAAGCCAGGTGTCGTGGTGCACACCTGTAAGCCCAGCGCTCCAGCACCCAGATAAGCAGGCAGGTATCTGTGAGTTCTAGAAGAGCTAGGGCTACATAGTGAGACCCTACCAAACAAACAGATAAACAAATAAAGCTCTTAGTTGCATTCACCTGTAATCTCAGCGCAAAGGGAGGCAGAGGCAGGAGGATCTCTGAGTTCAAGGTCAGCCTGGCCTGCAAAGCAAAACAAAGCCCGGACAGCCAAGCCGACACAGAGAAACCCTGTCCCAAAAAAACTAAAATAAATAAATAAGTAGATGAACAACTAAATAAATAATAGGAAAGACAATCAAGGGATAATCAGGATGTAGCTCACTCAGATATCTCCAGATAAGCACCCCTGTATTAACAAACCAAGTTCAGTGCTCTGCAATCTGGACAAGGAGGAGCCCCGGCAAGCCAGTTCAACCTGTAGGGACTGGGTTGAGGGTAATAGTTTCCCAGAGAAAGAGGAAGTGAGAACTGGAAGGAACTGGGAGAATTTAAGGCAGTCAGGTTTGTAGGGTCTTGATAGCTATGTTCAGACCCCACTAGAGTACACTGCTAACCCTACCCTGGAGCCAGAATTCCTGAGGCTTCCATTGTAAAGGTAATACACAGTAAGGGACTAGCAGCTAGGAGAACTTGAGCAAAAACTTGGTCCCCAATCTTGCTCCTAGAATCCCATCTCTTAGGCTCTGACTTTCCAGAGCAGTTGAGCTCTGAGAATACAGACTAGACCCTCTGACCCACACACTCTCCAAGTTCTGACTGGGAAGAATGGAGAAAAAAGGGAAATGTATCTCCTATAAAGAACTAAACCCATGAGGCTGGAGAGATGTTTCTATAGCTAAGGGCTCATATTGCTTTTACAAAGGACCCAAGTTTGGTCCCCAACCTCTGTGTCAAGCTGCTCATAATCACCTATAGCTCCAGGGGACCCTCATCTCCATAGGTACTAGTACTCATGAGCATATACCCACACAGAGACATAGAATTTTTAAAAATAATAATAACAAAACACTATGAACATTTTTCTAGAAGGAGAATAGTTACCTTGGCTAAACCTGGCATTAGGTACTACTGAACTTTGTTAAATAAATCAATGTGACTTCTCTATCGTAAGTTTGTCTTAAAAGCTAAAATCACATTTCACACAAAGGAAAAAAAAATTATAGTTCTTGTGGTGACTTCATTCTTTCACAGCGTTAGAACTATAGTTTACAAGGCAAATCAATGACAACATCCATAGGTAAAGAGGGCAATAGACATTTACATGTTTAACATTCCATGAATTGGCCTGTGCATTTGCATGCAAATACATGCACAGATTTGACAGCAAGCCCCACACTGCATTTTAACTTAGGCATCTACTATTGCTGAAATATTGATGTTTGGCCTTTAATATAAAGAATCAGCTGGGCGGTGATTAAAGTTTATTTTGAGACAAGATCTCACTATGTAGCCCAGGATTGGAACTCACTATGTAGAGCAGGCTGGCTTTTAATTTACAGACCCACAGGCTTCTATCTCTGGAATGGAGGTATTAAAGGCATTCCCAGGCTATATATATATATATATATATATATATATATATATTTTTATATATTTTTTATTTTTTTTTCTTTTTTTTTTTTTTTTTTTTTTTTGAGACAGGGTTTCTCTGTGTTGCCTTGGCTATCCTGGATTCAACTCTATAGATTAGGCTGGCCTTGAACTGATAGCAATCTGCCTGCCTCTGTCTCTCCAAGTGCTGCCACTTGTTCCAGGTTTGCTAATTTATATTTTAAGAGAAGGAAAAAACCAGAGTGTGGTGGTGTACACGCCTTTTATTCTAGTCTGGATGCTGAAGCAGGCAGATCTCTGAGTTTGAGGCAAGCCTGGTCTACAGAATAGCCAAAGCTATAAGAGAAATCCTGTTGAGAGAGAGAGACAAAGACAGAGAGAAAGAGAGAGAGAGAGAGAGAGAGAGAGAGAGAGAGAGAATGAATCAGCAAGAATTGGTAGGCCACTTTTCTAAAGGTGTGCACTAGGAAGGAATTACTGTAAAAAAGAAAACAACTGAAAACCTTTCTTCCATAGAAAACACCATGAACCCAGCTGATTAAACAAGGATCAAAAGCATGTTACCATCACCTTCATGCATAAATGAAGTTGCAATGGAAAAAAAAATGTTCTTAAAGACAATGGCATCATCTCTACCTAGCCACCTGAAACCAAGTCTTTACCAACAGCTAAAACAAGTGGAAAGTACTTAATTTGAGACGTGGTGCAAAGTAGGGAAGACATTGAGTCTTCAGTCATTTGGAAATTGGAAGTCCTTGTTCAACATGAAAAATCACCACAAAACAATCCAAAGCCATCAACATGCCACAGTGAACCAACTAGGGGAGTGTGTTGCCCATTGTCGAATAAAATCTTCATTGAAATCTTTGAGTTTCTATGTGATAGTTTCTAAGTCACTGCCACTTCCTTGTCATGTTATTTGCCTCAATGTTTTTTCCTTTCCTTCCTTTTCCTTTCCTTTCCTTTCCTTTCCTTTTTTCTCTCTTTCTTTCTTCCTTCCTGTTTCTCTTTCTTTCTTTCTTTTTCTTTCTTTCATTCTTTCTTTTGGTTTGTTTTACAAGGTTTCTGTGTAGCCTGGGCTGTCCTGGACTCACTTTGTAGACCAGGCTGACCTCTAACTCATAAAGGTCCACCTGCCTCTGCCTCCCAAGTGCTGGAATTAAAGGCATGCACCACCACTGCCCAGGTTTTTTTTTGTTTGTTTTGTGTAGCCTTGGCTGTCCTGGAATTCACTGAGTAGACCAAGCTGGCCTAGAACTCAGAGAAAGCTCTGCCTTCCTCTGCCAACCAGAGTAATGAAATTATAGGTATGTGCCACCGTGCCAGCTATTTGCAAGTTCTTTATAACAAAAGTTTTTTTTTCCTCAAAATTTTAATTTTTAAAAGGGGGAAACTAAGAATTTAGATAAAAAAAATTTAAGAATACATTGCAATCACGTTTGCCTTACGAATTAGAAGTATTTTTTCAGATCATGTCTCTAATTACAGTCATTGTATTTTCAATGACTATTCAAACACCTAGGCTTTTATTACTTTGTTGGCAATTTAACAGTCAACTGTTGATTTGGGGTGGTTGTGTAGGCTTAAACTGTTCCAAACCAAGTGATTGTTCAGTACATAGACTTTTAAAACTCTGACTCAAGGAACTCTTGCCTTATATGTTACAGTTAACATATAATAAACTCATTATAAACAGGTAGAGTATGCCCTTGGGCCCATTCTTCCTAAACCAGAGAACAGAGCCTTCAGCAAGTAACAACCAGTTTTCTGCCTCCTTCCGTCCCCTACTTTGCAATTTTTACTTCTATTGTTATATCTATCTGAGGACTGCTGCTCTCAGCAACTGTGGTATTGGAAGAAACTTGAAGTAATAGAATTGATATTATGAAGTAAGTCCTTCATAATATCAATTCTATTACTTTTCTAAGGAGACATTAACTCACACAAAGAGAGTTAGCATGGGAGTGCTGCCTCCAAAATGCCTTGAAGGTAAGTGGTGTACTAACCAGGTTTGTTAAGTGGAACTTAGGATCCCTAAGATGGAGAATGTTTGTTTACCAAGAGTGTAGCCTTTAGGTTCCATTCTCATAACAAAAGAGAAAATTTAAGTTTGCAAATCAGCCTTTAATCTCCATCCCAAAAGGCCTTATCTGGTTTAGTAACCTAAGTATTTAGAGTATGGCCTTTGGAGAATAGCTGATATAATCTGGGCCTGAGTGTATGAGCTGTGGAGTCATGGCTAACTCCACCTTGATTTCAAAGGATGCCTCTATGAGCCTTGAGATCCAAGCAGAGAACTGCAGTGAGGCTGCTGTAATGTTCCTACCAACTCAATGCTTAGAAAAGCCATGGCCATTTGCCCAGAGAATAGAGCCCACACTGGAGCAATGCCCAAAGGAACTATGAAAGTAGCTCTCTCACTTATGACCCCAGAACTACAGCCACCAGTATGCAATAACAACCTGGGAGAGGTGCAGGCAACTGCTTCCAACTGACTAAAAATGCTGTGTGAGCTGTGCCCAGTGAGCCATGCCTAGAGCCCTGTAGACCAGAACTGCATTCCAACTTGGAGCCCAACTTTGCTCTCTTTAGCCTTAAAATAGAGTATTTCCCCTGTAGGTGTGGGGCTAGAGAGATGTATGTTTGCTGTTTTTCAGAGTAATCATGTTCAATCTCCAGGTGTCTCACAATTGCCTTTAACTTTAGCTCCAGGGGATCCAACACCCTCTTCTGGAATCTTCCAGCAACCTGTCCCCTATACACATAAATAAAAACAAAAATCTTTTTTGTTGTTGTTTTTCGAGACAGGGTTTCTCTGTGTAGCCTTGACTGTCCTGGACTAGCTTTGTAGAGGACTGGCCTCAAACTCACAGAGATCCACCCACCTCCCAGGTGCTGGGATTAAAGACACCACCACATCAGTTAAAAATAAAAATCTTAAAATATATCATGGGTGGGGCACCAATGACATCTAACCCCTGGGATCACCTCCTAGAGGATTTGTTTTGTTTTTGAGACAGGGTTGCTCTGTATAGCCATGGCTGTCCTGAACTTGTTTTGTAGACCAGGCTGGCCTTGAACTCAGAGATCCACCTGCCTCTCTACCTCTCAGTGCTTGGATTAAAGGGAAGAAGTACCATAACATATGGCTTCTAGAGGAATATTTTGAGTGTGGTGGCACATATCTTTAATCCCAGCACTCAGAAGGCAGAGGGAGGTAAACCTTTGATTTAGAGGCCAGCCTGGTCTACAAAATGAATTCCAGGCCAATCAGAACTACATAGTGAGACCCTGTCTCAAACAAACAAAACAAC